TCTCGAAATTACAAGTCATTACATAAAAGGCTTCAGTTTTATTTTCCCGAAAATTTTAGAGGCATTTTTAAGTATTACGAAAGTAAGAATTTTTTTGATCGCTCTGTCCATAGTATTTTCGAATTCTAAGATTTTAGGTGTCCTTTTTCTACAAGGGAAGTGAAATGCGAAAAGTTCAACTTTACAATTGAAAATCCGAGAATTCGTTAGGTAAGCTTCATAACTTGTACATGAATAGAACAGTCATCTAACAATTTTAGCCTTCCTCAAGGTATGGAAAATTGAAAAAAAGCTATAGAAAAACTTTTTTCCTTATTTGCAATGCCTTACAGTTTAGCAAAACGTATTTGGAAAGCACCATATGGATAGTTCGGTATATATGTAGCTTACGCACACTGGTATCGCGACGTTCTATTAAAAGTGTATTGAAAGGCGCGTAAAAAAGGCGAATCAAATTCAAGTGCAGTGCTCTGAGTGAAAAGAGGTCGCAATGTTCATATAACAAAGTAAATAAATACGCTTTCACCGGCCATGCTTTGGGCGAAATTGTACTTTCATGGAAGTGTTGTGGCTTTTTTTTAACTGAAACAGGTCGAACACTAGCACTTCAAATGGAGTTGAAATTTGAACCTTTTAGGACTGCCTAGACTGCGTAACTGACGGTATTGTCTCGGTGCGCTATTAAAGTTTTGGCGGCGTAGCCGTGATCCAGAAAAGGCGGAATGGGAAGAAGGCGTTTTCTCGCGGCTTATGCCGCTCGTGGCGGCTTCGCCGCCAAATCCCACACAACTACCACACAATACTGCCAGCTACGCAGGCTAGGACTTGCCGCTATTGGACTGGCTATGCTCACCTTTTTTCTATATTGTTCCTTTTCACCCAATTGTTTAAAAAAACTAGTAACAAGTAGCTTTACATGCACTGCTGAAGAAACGTTTGTGTTAAACTAGACGTTGTCTTCAGCTGTCAAGGGTTAGAGTAAGAGGAATAAAACTACCGCAATTTAAAAAACAAAATAGTACGTTATAACAGTACCAATCGTTTCTGTTTTTCTTGTTAGCCATTATAAAACAGAGAAAAATTCCTTGTTTTAATTCGGTGCATTACACCCGGCAACATTTTTTTCCCTTTTTTTTTATTTTATAAAAAACCATCGGCAGGTCATCATCGTGAAGTGCCCTCTACTAGTAGAAGGTCGGCTATCATGATCTCCAGCTGTTCCGATCTTCCTCTCTTGACACATCCGTTATAGTTGTGTCCTAACCATTCTTTGTTGTTTTTCATCCAGGTAACTCTATGTCTTCCCCGTTCCTCTACTCCCTTCAACTTTGCCTTCCTCTAACAATTTTTGGATCGACCTCGCTCTTATTACGTGTCTAAAATACTGGCACTTTCTTTTCTTCATTGTTGGTAATAGTGAACTTGTTGTATTTGCCATGTTTAATGCTTCTTCATTGGTTTTATGTTCCGTTAATGATTATATACTCTTAACATTCTTCAATACGCCCTCATCTCAAAAGCCTTTAATTTATACTTTCCATGCCAGTTTGGTCAGAGTCCATGTTTCACAACCATGTAATAATGTTGACCATGTAAGGGAACACTGCAATATTCTTTTCCTTGTTTGCATATTACTATTTCTTGATTTGAGTACTCTTGACATTTCGTGGAATGCCGCACTTTTTGCTAACGCTATTCTTCGCTTTACTTCTTTTTAACATCTCCCGTCTGCATACTTAAGAGTCCTCATAAATAGACTATTTTGTCTGCCTGCTCTATAGATTTACCACTCAAGCATAATCATTTTGTTAACTCTAGGAGTAGGTGTTGTTTTTCTTACTACCATTGTTCTGGTTTAATGATGTCTATTTCCATATCATATGGTTTTCCTCAGTGCTTCATTAACTGCTGTTCTAGGCTTTTGTAGATCAATTGGACAAAAACGTATTAGTTCAGTGTCATTGGCAGGTATGCTATCAATAATTACTGCATTTTCACCGCACTCAGCTACTTGCAAAGGAGATCGAAATTGAGACGTGTCATTTGCAGGTATCTTATCAATAATTACTGCATTTACACTGCAAGAACGTCCACTCAGCTACTTGCAAAGGAGATTTTAATTAACGACCTTCAGAGTTTGAATTACCGGGGTTCTACTGTAGTTTGAGAGCGCGATGCCAAAGGAACTCTTTGAAGATTGCAACCCTGGGGGTTACTTTCTTATAATAGGCTAATGGGGATGTGCAGCTGGATGGGGTCGCATTTTCACCTCTGGTGTGACTATAATGGGGTCGCATTTTCAATAGAGTTACTAAAACGTTGTGGCACATTTTCGGATTTTTTAGGGTAAGAAAGTTCTTCCTATTTACGGTTAACAAACGTACCAGAATGTTTGTGCTGCAGATGAAAAAGTAACGTGTTCTTCATTCAATTCAAAAAATGGGTCATCTCATAAAAATAGAAAGTGATTATGTTGGAATAGCGAAACTTTACATATTTGCCCAAGAGTGACCTAAGATGGGGCCTATAATTGGCTACAGAATGGACTATAATGAGGTAGGGGCTCTGAGAGGTCAGCGGCACATACTCAGCAAAAATTAACCCAAGTACCCAGCCCCCCCCCCATCCGGGTTTGCAACGGGGCACTTGTCATCAACAGCTGCAGAAACTCTTTGGCAACAAGCTTAGGGGCTTTGCACAAAGTCGAGACTGGCCTTTTTTTAGCAGTATTCTCGATGAATTCAACGTAATCTATGTTGTCTTTGTCCAATTCGAAACAGAAATCTTCAACACGCTGTGATACTATTAACCTGAGATCAGGCCCAGTTTTAGCGGTTCTCATACACTCTCTCTAACGGCTACCGCTAAAATTGGGCCTGATCCAAACTCATTCATGTTTGTGCTCGTTACGGCCAGATTTTGGCCGTAACGCTGATTGGCTGTTACAACAATGCCACAAGATCTGATTGGCTGTCGGAAACGGTTGTCGCGTGGTTGTCTTCGTGAATGATCCTTCGTCGTTTTATGGTCTTATGGTAGGAAAATATGCCTTAATATGTGCCATGGAAATTCAAAAAACTCATATGGTTGTACATATCTTCTCAGGATTTGCTTTATTTACGGAAAGTGAGTGTATCGCGGAGTTGAATCCCTCTGCAAGTTTTTGACCGCTAACAAGGTGCCTTTTGATTAACAGATGAAAGCTATTTTTTACGTCAGCCAGTCTGCATTTTTCCCGCGAGTGAAAAATTTGCATACTAGAAAAACAAGCAACGGAAGTAATTTTGGTTGGCTGATTCGGCAAATGTCAGTCAATCAAAAAAGTGGGCGGCAGACGTTTCGTAGAAGGTTTGTATCAGGCTCTCTTTTCGTTTCGCCATGCCCGCCGGAATGTTATTTACACTAAAAAGCGAAACGAAAATAGAGCCTGATCTCAGGTTATAAATATGATACTATTGAAGACCTCGAAGACCAAGTATTGAATCAGACACCATCAAACTGCATGTTTGCAACAAGACTATTGCTTTGCCACGGCTTATTTTCTCTAGTGTTTCTCAGAATTCAATTCGAGACTTGCTCGGCCGCTTGCCTTTACTCTGTTGTCGTAATAGCCGTGGTTTGGAGAGGTTTACCTTGAGAAATTGCTTCAAACTTCTTTAAAAATCCAGGTCTTGCTCTGTAAGTATGAAGTGTGGTAAAGGACCAGGCCTCAGTTCCTGAAAGGCCGATTAACGTTAATCCAGGATTAACAGTTTTGTTCCATTTTCGTATTTACCTTCCTATTCATTTCTTAGAGTAACATTAGGGCCGTTTATACGAGAGAAAGTAAGCCGCGGATTACTTTGGCCGAGGCTTACATAAGCTGCAAAAGGAATCATTTAAACGAGTGCGGTTTACATAAGACGCGAACTGCTGGTATAAATGGTTCACGGCTTAGTTCACGGCTTAGTTCACGGCCAGACCGGTCCAATGATAACGTAGTTTGTTATGGCTAGCGTAATTTGCGAAAAGCGAAACGATTGGCTTTGATCTGGAAAATGGCCATATTTTAAATTCTTTTTCGTTTCAAATTAACATCTCGTTCAAGATTAGCGTTGGGCTGTTGCGAAACTTGCGCGGAAACCTCGACGAAAAGTTCGTCAGAGATCAATCGAGTGGTTTGAAAGCGATGTTCCAGGGATGCATATGGATGATGTGGAGTTTAGACAAAATTTTCGCTTGTCTCCTGCAGCAGGTCATTTTCCCGCCACTGCAGCGTGCGCCTCTCAGCCGTGAAGGTCTGGGATATAATAGAAAACAGAGCATGCGCAGCAATCGTTCACGGCTTGAGGAAGCCGTGGACAACGTTTTAGTGTATTTATACTAACACTTTCACGCCCAAAGGTAAGCTGCGGCTTGGATAAGCCCAACCCAAAACTGCTCGGCCAGTATAAGCCGCGGCTTGAAATAAGATTTTGTACCATTTATACGGGGTGTTCGCGGCTTATGTAAGCCGCGGCTTATTTTCTCTCGTATAAACGGCCCTATTGTATGTTGTTATCATCGAGTCTCGGCGTAAAGAGAAAACACCATTTTGTAGGCTCTGGTGACAACCTTCTTAGTCAATAAAATATTGCTTAAAATTTGGCTTAATCCTAGGTTAACTTCACCATCTTTCGAGGAACCGGGCCCAGAACTTTTAGTAAATTTCTAGGTATCTTTGGCCCTCCCTGACTGAGTTTTTTGCAGTGAGAAGTGGCTTCGTTTATTCGAGCCTTGTTCGAGTACCCTTATTTGCAATTCAATACTTTTATAGTCGGTCATTGAATTCTCTCTTAACTTTATTAATTTCGGTGTTAGGAAATTGCGGTCAAAACAACCGACTCATCACATTTCTGACACCAGTCAGAGGTTTCTACCTTGAAGGACACGTGATTTCAAATCATTCCCTGGAACTAAACCTAGACTGCCAAGACCAATGCGCCCTTGCGAGGGAATGTGTTTCATATAATATTGGTCCAATGATCGCCAACAAGATGGTCTGTGAACTGAGTAATTCAGATCACTTGCAACACGCAGAAGATCTCAAACCAAGAAAAGACTGGATCTACAGAGGCACACAGGTAGGACGTACAATGGCTCAACCCAACTTAAAAAATTTACTATCACTATGTTGTAACGATTTGCTTGGATTTTAGCGGAGCCTCCACGAGCGCGAAGCGCGCGCGAGCGTACAGCTCCCTACTTAGCGAAAATGGTAAACTATCCATCCGAGAAAATTTGGTTATGACGTCGCCGTACCTCGGTACGTCCGTACGGGACTTTCCGGGCAGAGGTAAGTAGAAACGAATTCCTCCCCTCTCCCCTAGAGAGTTTTGTCCCCTATTGTTTCCAAAGGCTTTAAAAATGACTGACAAATCTGAGTCTATCTACTGAGTGTTTGGTGGATTTTAGCGGCCGATAATTTAACTTTTGAGGAGGTTATGGGTGATTTCAGAAATTAAAAAATATCCTGTAGACTGATTTCGAGGGAGAAAAGCTTGCAAGGATATACCAGGGAAAATTAATATCCTGCACTGAAAAGAATTTCCCTCATAATGTATATAATGCTGAAAAAAAACTTACACCGTTATATGTCAGGGAAAAAAATTCTAACTCCAGAGGTTTGGGAAAAAAAATTCTTGCCCAAAATAAAGCTTATCTAAAATATAAAAGAGTTATCCACTATTCTAACGGCAGACTCGTCGGCTTTTCCAGCTCGAGTTTGTCTTTATTTTTGTAAAAAAAAAAAGAGTTTTAAGTTGTTATTAACGTTTTTAATTTGTAGTGTGATTACCTCACGTTTCTCAGCCACGTACTGCACAACACCCGAACACGAATTGCACAGTTTGAGAAGGCTAAAGATTGGATAAAAAGTTAAGAGTAGCGAAAAAGGTTATCGTTTGCCGGCTTAGCTCTCCTATTATATGTCTGTCCTCAAAGAAAATGTACATCTTACGTAAAACTTTCTATCAGATATTGTGAGGCTGTATAAATGAAAAGGCTACCCTTATAACTTCGTCGGGGTCAGTTTAAAAAAATGACATTTATTACCAAGGGGAATAAATTATTTTATGCAGCCTGCGCGGCGCTTTTTAGTATCCCGGATGGGTACATCCGGGACTTACAACATAAAACATCCGAACATTTGACTTCAAGCCCCTATTTTGACTCCACTACACAACATCAACAGACAAAACGTAATGGCAAACAAGTTTATTTTGGGACGGCTTGGCGAGAACCAACCCTACAAAGTATTTATGTAAATACAATAATAGGTGAATACTGGTGAATACCTAATGTACAACACTTGTAAACTAGCTTTCACAAAAAGATAAAACTCGTGCGACAAATGGTCGCTCTTGACCTGAATCTCCCATTTAAGCAGGCAGGCTTAGTGCCAGGTAGGCTGCCAGTCATTCTGGGGAAACTAATTAATAAAACTCAGACAACGCATAACTGGCACACGGAACACCGTAGTAGCACAGAGGCTAAACAAAAAGAAAAAACTCCTCACAACTGGTCGATCTCGACCTGAATCCCCCAAATAAGCACAGGCTTAGTGCCAGTTAGGCTGCCAGTTAGGCTGGGGAAACTAATTAATAAAACTCAGAAAACGCATAACTGGCACGAGGAACACGGTAGGAGCACAGAGGCTAAGCAAAAAGAAAAAACTGCTACAACTGGTCGATCTCGACCTGAATCCCCCAAATAAGCACACAGGCTTAGTGCCAGTTAGGCTGCCAGTTAGGCTGGAGAAAATAATTAATAAAACTCAGACAACGCATAACTGGCACGAGGAACACGGTAGGAGCACAGAGGCTAAGCAAAAAGAAAAAACTGCTACAACTGGTCGATCTCGACCTGAATCCCCCAAATAAGCACGCAGGCTTAGTGCCAGTTAGGCCGGGGAAATTTAATAAAACTGTGATCAACGTATAACTGGGACCGGGAACACTTCAGGAGCACAGAGGCTGAGTGCCAGGAAAACTGGGAATTATCTCCACTAAGGTACCCAACAAGGCACGTAGCCCAATAACCAGTAAGACTGCCATAGGGCTAGGGCGGGACATTGAGGGTAAACAATGAATAACGACCCTGGCTAGAGGTCTGTAACATTGCCTGCAACCTAACTGCGTCAAACGAGACTTACGTCGCCTCCTAAAGAGCGGTTCCGGTTCCGGGACAGCTGACCTAAGCATACATGGAAACTAAATATATCAAGTAAAGGAGCAGGTGCAAAACTGAGATAACTAGTGTACAAGTACATAAAATAAGAAACGGGAAAAAGGCTGAAAACTAGCAGAGCTGAGCTACCGCTTACAAACTGAAGTAAATGCGGTCAGACGGAGGCCAGAAAAAACCTGCCCAAAAAAACCCCGAAGGGAAAAAATGCGGGCAGGAAATCTGGGTAGGAACCAAGGCTCAAGCTCAAAGCCCTTCCTACGGGACTTTACAATGTAATCGAGAATATGTTGCTCTAAAAATAAATAAAACAAAAATTTAAGAAAAACCAAGGAGAGGTTGGTTCGTACGCCTAGATGACGAACACGTGATATACGCAGCCTTTATACCCCCCGATATGGCTACCCATGGTGCACCCGGCCTAGTACCCAGGCCCTGTTAGATCCCGTGCCGTCAAAATATTTATTTCTGCCTTCTTCGCGGGCTCATTCGTCAGAAATAACATATTTTGACTCCACTACACAACATCAACAGACAAAACGTAATGGCAAATAAGTTTATTTTGGGACGGCTTGGCGAGAGAACCAACCCTACAAAGTACGTAGAGTGACAAAGTATTGGGCGAAATGACAAATGAAAGCTCCTAGAGCCCAAGAAACTTGGAAACTGAAAGCCTTTTTCTAGGTCATCATCGGTAGGCGCCCTTGCTAGAAGAACGGACTTTCAGCGGCCGAGCCACTGAAACACACTGTCACAAACCCCATTATAAGCAGCGAAGGTGACCCTCACGAACGCAAGGAATATAAACCAAAAGTGGAAGAGTCAACCCCGACAATTCTCAGGTCCTTGCGAAAAGCCTCTCTAATTGTGGTATAGCTGATAGGCTCGTTCTGGGAAACTAACTAAAAAGAGTTGTTCCCGCGAAACATGGGGCAAAAATGAGATCCCCGGAGCTAAAGGGGATGGAAAAAAGAGCAAGGTACCTCTTTAGAAGCTTGACAGGACAAGCAGGGCCAAACATTTCCGAAAAAATCACTTCGAGTCATCGTCCTTACAAAGTTGGCCGTTCTTGCTTTTGAGAACCTTAATGATCATGAAACCCTCATGAAAGAAAATATAATACCCCCTAATTATGGAGACCTCATCAAACCTAAAATCGTTTTGAAAACACACCTAGCCCCTTCAATAATCGAGTTATCCCTGGGAGAGGGGAAACCCGCTATGGTATGAACCCATTTAATACCATAAACATCCGAGTCTACGACGCACGGGGAGTGCGACTCTTCCATGAGGTGTTGCAAATACAAGGCAACATGGCAGGGACTGGCAGGACAGGCCCAGGAATGAAGCTTACTGGCAGCAAAACATTTTTACTTGCGAGAAGCACGAAGGTACACCACTGTCGTACTAACTGCCTTTGAGGAAAGAACCGTCGATTGCATTGTAGACTGTCTGTCAGCCTCAGGGTTCAACCCTCTGGTGGGAAATTCTGGGGCCCGCGCTAGAAACCAGAGCGGAATATATCTGAAAAGTAATCGAAAATACAAAAGAAAATGTAAGGATCACGCAATAAAAAAGAAAAAACACCGAAAAGGGAAGTGGGGGGTCAAAAGGCTACATGCAAAAACCTAATGGGTCCAAACCTAAAGGTACGCATAACACGCGTGTAGAGGCACAGGCAACACTTTCCGTCCGGCGGCGTAGAGCAGAAGCCCGCCAGGGACGAGGGAGGTGTGGGGCGCCGAAAACAAACTCGAAGCGCTATGACGCCAAAAAATAAAGGCCTGGTTCTGAAAAGGGAATTACGGACCTTTCCTGGAACAAATAATCCCTGGAACTTAAGCAATAAAACCCAGTCCACAACAAAACTATTCCAATGCACTCCATCTCTAGTAGAAACATTTCAGAAAATAGCTGACTTCCATACGTGAGGAATAAGGGCTCCCGTGAGCGCGCAGAGCCCAATGTGTCTGATATACATGACTCTGACAATGAGGCAAACAGGTGGGCCAAGCCAGTTGTTGTCCTATCCCCAATTTTGAGCGAAGGCATAAACAGCCTAACAGCCTGGCTGAAAAAATAGAGAGTTAAGCCAAGGCAACTCGCCGTTGTAACTACAGGCGAACCTGTCAATAATGTAAGGACCTAAGAGGTGATTTAGCCCTAGCAAAACAAAATCGTTGAGGCCGTAACCATCGAAGTCAACGAGCTGGCAGATACAGACCGCACTAGCGTTCAGGTCCCTAGGGATCCACTTGACCTCGAACGAAATACAATGACGGGAGCAAATTTGAAAAGCAACTAGGGCTAAATTCTTTGAGATCGCATTTCCTGCTGCCGTCGCGGAGAATGGATTCGACGTTCTGGTTGTCAGAATACCAAAAAACCTTGGAATTAGATGAAGGGCTCGCGAAGGCTAGTAAGGCAAGACAAACCGCTTTGAGCTCTCTACAAGTCGATCTACGAACACTTTCCGACCAATTCTGATAAAAAATCAATTCAGGTTCAGACTCCACTTAAACGCCGCAGGCTGACTCGGAAGCATCGGAGAAGCCGGAGCTTACTCTCACTGGAAGCGAACTGGAACCCGTCGATAAATTTTGCCGTAGAGAGGCTAACATAATTCGACCAAAATTCAATTTCATACAAAGAATCAACGGACAGGAAAACCTAGCTATCCCAGGAAACAGCTGAGTAAACAACTGAGAAAAGCAATCGGGCCATAATGCACGCGACGGATCCCACGCTACTCGAGACGGAAATACTATGGGCGGCTACACACGGGACGCGTAGAACGTGGACTGTGGTGGACGACTAATATGAAGACAAAGCCGCCAGGTCGCGAGACAATTTAACAATGCGTTCATCCGTGGCTCTAATACTTCCATCCAGAGTGTTATGTTGAGATGAACGCGAAGCCACTAGAAAATTCGAACGGGCTCCCACAGGGACTTTTCCTCATAGGAATTCGAACAAAGCGAGACTAAAGCAAATCGGCATGGACAGCCCGCAAACTGTAAATTAAGGCCTGAACGCGATAGGCTCCTCCTCCTATAGCTAGACCATAGTCAAGAAAAATGGCAATAGGGATACCTTGGCTTCTTCTAGATTTCTGAAGCGGTTTGAGGGAGGCTGACAAGAACCCAAAGGGAAGCGCGCAAAGTAGAAAATACCTAAAAACCCAGGTGCCGAGATCCCAGATGAACGCAAGGAAAAACTGGTGATCAGGGAAAATTACGATAACCGCACTAGAGGTAAAATATGAATAAATAAAAACCCATATCAAAAATATAAGTGGCCATGGACAAGTCTTCGCACTTGAATTTCTGTTTGAAGAAAAAAGTGCAAACGTGCCTAAAATCCAGGATTAACCTTTGTTAGCCGGAGCGGCGCGTCAAACAGAAAGCGGGTAAATGATATTGGAATGCAAAAATTTTTAAAAGGAGGTTGAGGCTGGGAAGCTCATTAACAGCTACGGACAAAAAGAACTGTAAACACGTGCAGAGGCATTGTAGGATTTGTAAAAAAACATAAAAAGCTGGAAGAAGGGAATTTGTAACTAAGACTAAAAACATTCAAAATGAACAGAGAAACTAGCAAAGTATGCCAGAAATAGATAACTGTGAAAAATCTTCCCAAACTGAAGGCAGAATAGAAATATCAACGGTACACTCAGAGCTCTAAACCGCGCCTAAAACTAGCGGGGTGAACGTCAGAAGAAACTGGTATAATATCGAGACAATCCTGATCCATATTACGGCTTGCCGCCTAAAAAATTCAGTACTAAATTAGAATAGACTGCACCTGATTGTTGTCCTTCATCTAGCCATTTGGGAGTTTGGGATGTTTGGCTTGTCCATCGTCGGGTAACAGGAACGCTTTCCACGGGCAAAACAGGTCCCGACACTGGGTCGTCGAGAAGGCGAAAATTAAAACAGGAACGTTTGACATGAGGCTGGGGTTGCATATGTGAAGTTGAGGTGGACGCCGGCGTTCCCACTGGCGAGGATCTGTTTTTGAGTGGTCTTCTTCTTCTTACGGGCCTAGTACGCTACACGGCCGCAAAATTCTGCACTGTGGATCCTTTAAAACTGGTTTTCGTTGGCCTTCTTCTTGAACTTACGTGGTTCGTTATACTTTAGATTCTTAATTTCCTTCATCTGCTGCTCGGCCAAATATTCATTAGCGCGCTTGATTTGACCAACGGTTTCTGTTAACAAAACTTTAAACGAGTCCATTAACTGTTTGTTATTCTCCTCAATGAGATCGGACACTTCGTCTTTGCTGACGGATATAACGCAAGAAAGAGCCGATAAGAACGTTAAGAAAAACCAAGGAGAGGTTGGTTCGTAAGCCTAGATGACGAACACGTGATATACGCAGCCTTATATACCCCCGATATGGCTACCCATGGTGCACCCGGCCTAGTACCCAGGCCCTGTTGTATCCCGTGCCGTCAAAATATTTATTTCTGCCTTCTTCGCGGGCTCATTCGTCAGAAATAACATTTCAGTTCAGCTTCGGTGCAGGGCAAACATTTTCCCACCCTATTACCCCGCCCATGGTTTCGCATCAGTCCCATCGATGCGTTAAGTTCTTATTCGGTGCGTGTTTGCCCTCACCTTTGCTGGAGTGAGGTTTTTATTTCCGGTTTTTGTGTAATTTGATTTGGTATTATCAATAAACGGCCACTGAACTGAGTGGCCAAATTACGGCAAATAATGGTGTCCGTTCAGTTTTCCCAGCAAACCGAGCTCACCCCTAGCAATGTACATTGTACAGCACATGGTTTATTGGCAAGCGAGCAAGGGGCATAAAAGTAACAAAAGAAAAGAAAATATAATGGGCTTGCAGAAACACAGAAGTCCCTAAGTCGGCCTAATTTTGGTCCTCCCTTTAGGACAGAAATACTAACCCTAGAAATCGTAACCTGTAAATTGCTGCTACTAGAGAGATCTACACTTTCACAATTTTTTCAATTCAGGTTTGCTTACGGGATATTTTTTATATGAAAGTAGATCACAGTTATACACCGTAACTTTTGCACTTGCAAAAAGGAAGCCTGAAAAAATTTCAGGCTTATATAGGGTTCGAAAGTTGCGTCTATAACTGTGATGATAACTGCGATAATCTACTTCCATATAATCATTCACCCCCCAGTTCACATATGGAACTTTCATGTATTCATAACTTCGGGATATTTTTCCTTAATCATTTTGCCCCTCCCTCTAAAGGTGAACTGATGCCTCTTACTTCTTTTTTCTTTTGGGCTTAAAGTTGCATGTTATTAGTTCAAATTTGATTCCTTTTATCATAAGTATGGAAACGGAGGCTTTGCTTCTAGCCCTGGTTAAATCTCTATATTATTTTAAAAAGGTATCAGTTATAAAATTAATAGGTCCACTGGAGATCCCTTACCAAACCATATGTATTTTGAAACTGACTTTAAAGTATTTAAAATGTATTTTCAGTATTTGAACACTATTTTACTGTATTTTAATCCTGTTTGACAAAGAAATTTAAATTTTCGCCCCTGTTTGAAATATATCTTGAGTGTAGTTAAATTGTATTTCATGAAAACGAAAACCTCTCTCATCAATTTACAATGTATTTTGTTTAATAAATATGATTAAAATGGGGTATTTAAAATGTATTTTGGGCATAGAACCACTAACACTGTTACAAACAGAGTTCAAATAGACTATTTGAAATCTGTTTTAACGGTTTTTATGCTGACTGTATTTAAAAACTTTTAAATAGGGTACTTTAACACTGTTTTGAGTTGTATCTAAAATGTAGTTTGAGACGCATCCACTCACAAAGTTACAAACATAGTTCAAATAGACTATTTGAAATATGTTTTAAGAGCCTAAATGCTGACCGTATTTTAAATCCTTTTAAATAGGGTACTTTAACACTGTTTTGAGTTGTATCTAAAATGTATTTTGAGACTCATCCACTCAAAAAGTTACAAACAGAGTTCAAATAAACTATTTGAGATATGTTTTAAAACCTTAAGAACTGACCGCATTTTAAATACTTTTAAATAGGGTACTTAAACACCGTTTTGAGGTATATTTGAATTGTAGTTTGGGCACACAACACTCTGACTATAAAAACAGATATACATAAACTATTTTAAGTCTGCTTAAAGACATCAAATGCTGACCTTACTTTAAATACTTTAAAGTACTTATTACTTATTATTACTGAGGTGCGATATTGTAATGTACTTTGGGATACTCAGACTATAAAAGATATAAGATGCTGATTTTTCCATACATTTCTTTCAAATTAGAATCTTTGCGCCACGAACCCCTGTCTGAACCATGGGACATGCTACATGGGATATACTGAGAAAAACTACGTTTGTGTTTGCCCAGCTGACTTTAGAGGTGAAAACTGCGAAGGTAAAACGTGTTCTGGTAACTTCAGTACAACCTTGTATTTGCTAAAACGTGAAACGATGCAAGAAGATCCTCCGGGACGACAATGGAGTGTTGCAGAAAAGGCAATTAATTTCTAGACGCGGTGAAAGTCTTGTTGTTCTTTTTTTTTTCGGGTTCAAAACTCGCTGGGGAGCGCACTGTTTGCAACTTTTTGTTGCCACTTTCTTAATTAACTTCCAACATTCTTGGTAGAACCCCACTCTACGGACGCCCATACATTCGGGCAGTTTCATTTGTTCTAACCAATCAAATCAGCACCGATCCCAAACCTTCAATGATCCCCCGGGGGAGTTCCTAAGAAAGATGGTATCTGGTGCCTTATCATTGATCTCTCTTCTCTCCACGGTTCGTCACTGTACAGTCAACACCCGATAATTCGAACCTTCAAGGGAAATAGAAAAACGTTCGAGTTATCGGATGTTCGAGTTATCGAGGGCCAAATCATATGGAAAATGATCTGACGGGAAATGAAAAATACTTCGAGTTAAGGGGAGGTTCGAGTTACAGACGGACCTTCTTCTTTAATCACTTGGCCGACACTTTTGCGTGGCTCCAAGAACAACTATCACATTCAAGACCTCATGCATGAAATGGATAACTATTTTACGGTTGGTTCTACAATTTTTCGATGTGCGCCCACAATGTGGAAACCATCCCTGATGTAGCTTCTCAAGCGGGCATACCCTTGACCCCAGACAAACTTGAAGGAGCCACCACCCGCTTGGTATACTCACCTTCCGTGCTGAAACGCAATTCTTTCCCCCGATCAGCAATATTATCTCCTTAAATATAGGTATCAAAAGAGCTCTAGACTGCACAGAAACAATTCGCAAATATTCATGTGTGCTTCCAACCTGAATTCATCGAGAATAGCTCAGATCATTAGCTCATAAAACCTGACTATTCACCCAAAGATTTAAAAAAAAAATCCAATCACATATTACCCGGCTACTTTAATACATTCTCAAAGTCTTCAGGGCGTTTTTCCAGTTCGCTGAGATCTGCATGAGAATCCGATTATCCTTCGCCCCGGTTTGCCATTTTGACAAAAATAATGGTTAAGTCATCTCCATCCGTCTGACAGTTTACAATTTCTATGCGGTGTACCAGGCACATTGAATAATGAAGCACCCGCATATTGTGAAAATTATCAGCCTAAAATTAATTGGACACCTTCTCTCTGTAGTTGGGTTATCCTGCAGCCATTTAAAGAAGGGAGACCCTACAGCAGCAAGTGGAAATTACAACATTGATCCAGATGGCGAGGGAGATCTAGAGCCATTCTCAGTGTACTGTGACATGACCAACAAGAACGGAGTTGGTGTGACAATCATAAGACATGACAGTGAGAGCAGGAGTATTGTGGATGGATACGAAGATCATGGTAGTTACTCACGTGATATTAACTACGCAGGAGCAAGTCTATCTCAGCTGGCCAGTTTCACCAATGTCTCCTCACACTGCGAGCAGTTTATCAAATACGAGTGTCGCAGGTCGTTGCTTCTCCATGTTAGCACTTTTGCTGGTTTGTGCTGTATGGGGGAGCTTGGCTGAACTACATCGCAACTGCACAAAAAGGTAGGAATAAAGTATATTGATTGAAATATAAGCATACACAATTAAATGTCTTGTTGGATCCCGAAGGGTTTTCTTTTTTTTTTTTTTTTCAATTTTTATTTATTGTTAGAGTGCTAAAGACCAAATCGATATTTACAATTGTAGTTTACGCCGCCCGAGAGCACGAGCTCGTTACATCAGCAACTTGTGCAATTGCATGTTCCTTTGTTAATTTTGCCAACTCGTTTGTAGACTTGACTGCAAAACTCTCGCTTCAGGCCTTTCGTTAGACCGGTTGCGATCGCACGCGCTCGCTCTTGACCATTGTGGGCAACTATAGGCTGTTTGCAATCTAACTCGTTTGTAAACTTAAATGACTTCTTCCCTATGTATACCTTCACAGTATGCATGGGATAAACGTGTCTGACTTTTTCCTCTATACTCTAAAGTACTGCGCTCAGTCTGATGATCAGAAGGACGTCCTCGGCCCACTTAAAAGACTCTGCTGTTTGGCATAGCGCCTTGCAAATGAATTCTCATATAAAGCTAGTTGTGAAGCGGCTATATTAAGTTTCAAACCAAGAGCCTTAATTGTTTCCTCTTTAGACCAATGCACTCGAAATCGAGCAGCTGTGCCTCGGGTAAAGCCGCTCAACAGATCACACGGATGGAGAGATTATTGTGTTTTGCAAGGCACAAAAAGTGGTTTACTAGTGTTAAAGGTTCAACTTTATCTTGCTGAATATCAAGATAATCATGAAAAAAAAAAAAAACTTCCAAAGCAAAATGACGGTGTGTTTTTAATTACAATATTTGCATCGTGTCATAGATATTAAATGTTAGGCGCGTCTAAAATTTAAGTGCTTTTGATAACAATAATCACGCTCCTTAAGTGAAAAACACAAGTTCCGAAAATCGTTTTAGGTTAGTAGAAAAACTCCGAATCTCTTTAATAGACGAAAGTTTTTAAGCCTTTCGCGAGTTTTAGAAATTTCTAGGCCAGAAAAATAAACAATAATTAATGAAAACGTCGTCGGGTGCCCCTAATCATTGGGTTAACGCATACATTTTCGTTAGGTCGATCTCAAAATATATCAAATTTATCCTTGTTTCTTCCTACCACCTGCTTTTAGTCCCTCTCTTTAATTTAGGCTCTAAAAACAGGAAGTCACTTTCTACGTTTGCATTATAAAGTATATGAATAAAGCGATTGCCCTCGCTTGTCGTATCAGGCAGGAATGCGTCAAAATGGGACCAGAAATGATTAATCTCCTAGGTATTGGTTTGGGGATTGATCAGCCTAAAAAAAATGGCGTGTGATCCCCGCCAAAATTCAAGTTATCTTATTTCTGTATATCGCTAAATTGTGGCTCGTAAATTTTTCTCTCCCCTAGCAAATTCTCTCCTGTATTGTAAAATTCGACAACGCCAAATTCTATTCTGTGATAACGCCAAATGCGATGTCTTGTCTTTAAATTGTATCACACTAAATTCTACCCCGTGGTTTCAAATTCGTTTGCCCCAAATCCTATGCTGTGTGCCAACTTCTATAACGCCAAATTCGGTCTCACCAAATTCTGTAGTACACAAATTTATACTCAGTAACAGCAATTCTGTTCCATTGCACGGAATTCAGGAACAGCAAATTCAGCACTTAATTTAATCGACGGACAGCAAAATCTGTCAGTGCGCCCACAGAATTGCAAATCTAACAACTTCAAATTATGCACGCGTATTAAAAAGTAAATACTTCGATGCGGAAATATTATAGCACGGAAATCCTGTATTGTGGTACGGTGTATTTAGGCGTTTTGTTTCTCAGAATATTGTCGCAATTACTGTAATTCTACTGTTAAATGGATTCACTTTGTTGTATGTAGTTAATTGATAGATTCTCGCAGTTGTTAAGATGTGACGGTGCGTTGCACCTTATAAATACTTGAGATATCAATGATTTAACCTTCGACTACTACTAGAAGCAACTTCAACTACCCGTCTGACGTTACGTATGTGTCACGGATGTCCTTAGACGGGTAGCCTTGTACTTGACCATCACGCACTCTACTTGCAGCACTTCATATTGGTCCATGTCCACAGAATAGAATCCCATATCGAGCTTTTCCGTAACGGGTCGGTCCACGAATTCTATCGCTTGAAAGCGTTGATTACTTTAGAACAAGTGATTACTTCAGTGGACAGAACGAAAAACAATCATCAGTTAATGAGCAAAACTTCGAGGTTTACTGGAAAACTAGGATAAAGGATCAGTGATCGGGGATCGAGGATCGGGGGTCGGTTAAAAAAAAAATTAAAATAATATTAATTTTAAATAAATCGTCGAACGTGAAGATGTCAATGTGGGTTGCAGACTGTAGATAAACTTCACAGAACATAACCCCGTTCGCTGTACTGAGCACTAAATTTAAGTACCGTACGGTAAACTATTCCGAGTCTCACTGAGTCAGTGATTGTTTTGAAGAGAAAGTGAAATTTTCGTGGGAAAGGAGACGCTTTACCCCAGTGATACTGTGATAAAATGCATGCTGTGTACAGCTCTAAAAATTGTTCTCTGAGATCGCTTAAACATCAGCTGTATGGAGTTATCAAAAGCAGATACTAAGCAGCTATGGAAAATGTAATTACTTTCATGCGATTTTGATATCTTATAAAACCGACCACAAATTCAACAGGAATACACGCGAACTGAATTAACTGTCTGTTGTATAGATGGTTTTCACAGTGACGTCATCAAATTGTAAAGTCAAAACAGCGAGGTTTTACGAATCCTTATTTACACTAGGTTGTAGATAAGCAAAAGGTTAATCTTTGTACAAGTTTCCATTCCCATAGCATGTTTCATTTCGACAAAACAGCAATTTGGACTTCCGAGTTTTCACAGTGCGTGACGCCAAAATAGGAATGCTGTCTCACCGTTGAAAAAAGCCTGTCCTCTTGCTTTTCAGCAGTCTAACCTGACATTTCAAGTATTTGAAGATATGTTTATGCGCACGTATGCTAGTTATGGAGTGAATAGAAAGAGCTTTTATAGAAAAAGTGAACTTCAGATGTTTGGTTGATTTCCGGCGGCCATATTGGTGCACCAAAACGGTACACCAGTATGGCGGCTCCATACAAAGCTCTTCAAAGGTGCGTGAGACGTTTCGGCAAATAACTTAGAAACTGTGGGCAACAAAGACCCGAGAAATGGATAAATTGCTTGTATATTAGTCTTTTATAACATTTCATTTTCTTGGCTTCTTCCACTGGTCGGTTTCCAGTTCATCTTTGTTGCGTGACAATGAACACGATCTATAAGGTTCTGCGAAACTTACGCTTTTTTCCTGTACTGAACAAAAACTGTACCGAGCCGTATCTTGGTCCGCTACATAGAAGCTATATATCTATATGTTTATACTGATAAAAATCATCGTTTAATTTTTTGAGTGTAAAATCCCTGAGAGAGTTCTCCTTATTTGAGCAATATCAATACGTAAAAGGTTTTCAAAGGTTTTCACCGGTGTGAAGCTAAGGTGTGCCGCCTGTCTGTCCTTGCAATTTTTACGTTTGAATATTTACATTATGACATATAACTCGTTTTGTATTCAAAACGAAAAAGTAGCAGAACAGCACCAGCGCCTTTTACGACAAAACTTATATCCAAGCCCCTTGGGCTCCAAGCAAGCAAGACCCACCCTACTAAGAGCGCTCTTGTTTCATTAATTATTGACTTTTCAACAGATCCGTTCAGCGTACTGCATGCAGTTGACAGTTTAAACGTTCATCATAAATTAAGATCAAAAATAGTAAAGCAATTCTGTATCACGTAGACATTTCTAGACGATACTTCTTTGTTTGCCAATTGAAAATTCGTGTTTTACTTTTTGCATGAATTAAAGCAAAGGAGTGGTGACGTCACTGGACGGCATTAACGGCCGACCGATTCAGACGTTACTGAGGGAGTAAAAAAGACTCGAATTAATCATGTGAAATTCAGGCTATAATTATGTATTGTAACAAGATTGATTGTAATGAAGAACCGAAACATTTGGCAAATTTCTAGTTTTTTTTAGCCTCGGTTGTCGGTTCTTTGCACTTAGAGATGACTTCGTTAATTCGACCCATGTTCGAGTATACGTTATTGCCGTACCTCTGCTTAACTGTACAAATATTCTCTCAGGAAATTGCGGTCAAAACAACCGACGCATCACATTTCTGACACCAGCCAGTGGGTTTTACCTTGAAGGACACGTGATTTCAAATCATTCTGTGGAACTAAACCTTGACTGCCAAGACCAATGCATCCTTGCAAAGGAATGTGTTTCATATAATATTGGTCCAATGATAAACAACAAGATGGCTTGTGAACTGAGTAATTCAGATCACTTACAGCACCCAGAAGATCTCAAACCAAGGAAAGATTGGATCTACAGAGGCACACAGGTATGACTTACACCTAATGTCAATGGCTCAACCTAACTTTAAGACTTCACTATCATTATGTAGTAACGATTTGCTTGCATTCTATTTTAAAACGGTATCAGTTATAGAGTTAATGGGTCTACTAGATACTCGAAGGGGTGGGGGAAGGGGGTACTCCCTGTAATGCCCTATACGGGAAGGCTCTGCCCGAAAGGGGTATCTTTTTTCGGCTGCAGGTATATGAAAGGGTAGGGAAATATGTCATTTGGGTCTGTGAAAGCGCCCAAAGGGTTAACAGATGAATTTTTATAGCTTTATAAAGTCGAGAAAAAGTTCTATTTTTGTGATTGATTAAAAGACAGTGCATTTACAGCAGTTAAAAGGGATGCAAAGTTCTAAACAAGGTATGTAAAGGATTGCCATTTGTCGATGGAAGGTATATAAAAAGGATACCTTGAAAAATGGTATAATATATAGATTTAGCCAGGGCTAAAAGCGAGGCTCCCATTAGTAAATTTATAATTTAAATTAAACAATAAACTTGTATTCGAATTCCACAATTCAGTTAACTTTAGAGCACATTTATGTGACTTTTGAGGGAAAGGCTACCTGATTTTAGACAAAAATAATTTGCAAACAGCCCAAGAGTGAACCAAATCTTACATCGAGTTGATAGCCTCATATGTACACTCAAAAACTGGTAATCATCTTTTATCACATTTAAGAGCCGTAATGGCTATTGATCACCGTAGATCAATTAGGCTTAGAAAAAAAACCAGGCCAACGTTTTGGCGTTCGACAAGTTTACTTTGCAAAATCTTGCCAACAAATCTGGGTGCGTGTAAACCAACCTTTTATACCATGGACAGAAAGCAGTATTTCACAATACAAATTGCTCTCATTCAATATTCATAAACTGTTAAAAAAATTTTCCAAAATCACCTATACGGCCATCCGGTTCTCACTTTTGTAGTGCGAGCTGTAGCGAGTGTTTGAATGAACATTAACAGAGTTACGCTCCAAGATAATAAAGAATTTATCATGTTTATTTTTTATTTGATGGTTTAACGCGCGGCATTTTGAGAACTCCTGCAAGCGATGTTCACTGAACGACCGAAAACAATCGGCATAGCGATTAAAATTGCAAGAGAGACTACCAACAATCAATAAAAGAAATATAATTCGGTGAAACATAAACAGAGACAACAATTTTCATTCAGGAAGACAAGTATTAAAGTGTCCCTAAATATCCTGAGTCTTCAAGCTTCAAGCTTAAGTTTGCTGAAGTTTATGTTTTAAGCCAGCTTCCCGGTGTTTGTTTTTTCAAAGACGAACTCGAGGCAAGAAAATCGCTCAAAGCTTTCTTTTCCGGCTAGAATTATAACTAAAGATTCTTTGGAACATTTTCTTTCTATTTGCGGTGAGAAACTGTCTAAAGGCTTTTTAAAGTTCTGTAAGATTATATCAAACCAGATACTCGGTGAGATCGTTGTCTCAAAACTTACAAACGCGCATAAACTAAATTCCCGCATAAACTACGCTCCACTTCATTAAATTAGATACAAAAACAAACATGAAATACAATAATTTCTCTGGCTTACCATTCGAGATGCAGCTCCTGAAAGTTATCAGGTAAAGCCAGTATCGCTTCAGACTTTGCAATCCTCTTACGCATCAAGCAAGGTGAAAACGAAAACGATGCCATCCGAAATCGGATTTCCGACTTTGACAAGCGACGTTTTCTCAACCAAAACCCAATAAACAAACTAGCCATGAGTAACAGAAGACTCCTGATAGCAGCTGAATTTCATTTTGTACATCCAGTGGAAAAAGACAGTTAAAAACATCACAAGTTGACACAAAACTCTGTCAGCTTCAGCTGTTAAAGTAAACAAGATTCAAGATGCTGCATAAATTTTGCGCATGAACTCACATGTCAAATTTTGACCAATCAGAGCATAAAAATTGGACGTAGAGCGTGACCAACGCGTGACCATTGTGAGAAAAAACAAAAGCAACTGTCTTCCCTGCCTGTAACAGCTGGCTGAATTTTCACGTCCGAGGTCAGTTTGCAATCAAAATTTTAATTGTGCAGCACATAAACACAACATATTTCATATGAATTAAGAAAAAAAAAATTGAACTTGAGCCTGCGATCACTTGAAAACTAGTTTACTTGTCAGCGGATAACTTCAAAAAATACTTGACCTCGACGAGTCGACACCTGAGCCCGCGATACAGTCAAGTGATACTGGTCAGCGGGTACTCTGTTTTGACAGCTGTCAATTGATCAAAACATTGATGTCCAATATGTGTGCATTATCAGTTTTCCTGTGCTCCCAAACTAGTAAAAGTATGAGATTGAACGTTGTTCGCGATCTAGTAAAACAGTTAACTGGTCAGCGGACAGCTTCCAAATAAATCACGTCACCTCGATGAGTTGACACATGAGCCCGCGATATGGTCATGGGATACTGGTCAGTGGCTATCCTGTTTGGACAGCTGTCAATTGACCATATTGTTAATGTCCTATATTAAAGATGTGGGCTTGCCAAGACACGCCTGAGACACCCCTCCCTTCCTTTTGATAGTCTCCCCTACCCCACCCATACAATCTGTAGACGCGTACGTACGTACGTACGCTCGGTCAATCACGTGACAACCAAACGAAAAGAGGTTGACCATATTCCATGGGTATGGGGCTCTGTCCCACGCGCGCTTCGCGCGCGCGGGAGCCCCGCTATAAAAGGATAAGGGGTTGGACCTTGGGGCGCAGCCTCCCCGTATAAAATTTTGTTCAGCCAACCCCCCCCCCCCCCCCCCTCTAGCGAGACTAGAGACGCATGCAATATAGGTCGGTTCACACTAGCCTTTATAACCACGGGCAAATGACTGTTCCCCACGGTGAAGCAACTTTGTGCGTGACCGACAGTTGCTAAGGTGAATTTGCCTCTGGAAAATTTCCATGGATACGTGAAATAACTGAGCGCGAATTGGCGAATTGTTGACAGTGATGACAAACTAAGATGATGGTTTTTCTACACATTTCTTTCAAATCAGAATCTTTGTGCCACTAACCCCTGCCTGAACAACGGGACATGCTACATGGGATATACTGAGAAAAAATACGTTTGTGTTTGCCCAGGCTACTTCAGAGGTGAAAACTGCGAAGGTAAAATGTGTTCTACTAACTTACAATATAAACTTGTATTTGCTAAAATTTCGTTATTTAACGAGAGTTAATCACACGTAATAAACTCACATCATGATCATTAATTTTTGCTTTGTTTTATGTTGTGTTTCTTTGCTTTTGTTTGATGTTTGATGTTTACCGTGTTTGATGTTTACTGACTCGTCTAAGAAGACTCATAGACTATCACCTCTTAGACATATGCAAACAAAGCGGTGGTTGCAGCTAAACAATAACAACATTGCTGTAAAGATGCTGATCCTTATGCGAATCAAGAAGCTAAATGGCGTGATATTTCCCGCCGTAGCTGTTTATTTACAAAGAAAAACTGCTTGAACTTTGGAATACAGCTCAGTAGATGACAGCGTTGCAACGGGCAGTCTTACTTTCATGCAGCTAGGTCTACCAGAGGTATGCTGAGCGGCATTAAAAAGATGGACAAGTTCCGATTTTTTGGCCTTTGAACAGAAGGCAATTCCTTTATCTTTTAATAATTCCTTCAAACCGCTACTGTCATATTCTCTGCTGGTCCCTGTTTCATACGTTCGTATTTTTCATGTTTTTCCCTTTTTGCCGCTTCCCCGAGTTTCTCGTTTCCTGGTGTTCAAGTCGTTCGCGGTGTCCTTCGATTTCTGAATCAGCAAGTGTTTTGTTATTAAGGAGAAGAATGCCATCTGCTGATGTAGTTAGTGGAATTTTCTGGATGAAGTGACGAGAATCAAGAATAATATATTTTTTGAAAGAAAAAGCTTCTTTGCTAGCTTTGTATCATTTCCGCGGTCTAAGCTGAAAAATAAAGAAGTGGCTGGACCACAAACATCCAATAGCGGATATAAGAGAGAAGATGCAAGCACAGGGTCCAGAGGAGATGTGTTTGTCGTTAGAAAATCAAAACCCGTCGAAAACCTCTGAAAAAAATGGGTTGTTTTGAACGCGTTACAGTTTCGTTACACATTCTATAGACCGCCAAGTCGATCGGCTTACAGTATAAAATACGGAGAGGGAGGAAAAAAATTTGGGGCCGATTTTCGAATCCCTGAAACTCAAATGCAATTGAATGAAATCGCCTGATTTACTAACCTGATCTAGAATTCTTATGTATTCGCCAAATACTGTTGGAAACGGCATAAAAAAGCGTTCAGCGAGGATATGGCTTGCGGTTATTGATTTTCAAAAGTCGATCCGGGTCAGATAAGAAGCGAAGAAATAGTTTACAGTAGATTTTGTAAAGATCCCATTGGGCTAATTAATCGTGCTAAGCGACAGGTATAGACATTTTTCAAGGTGAGACTTTAAATAAGGAATTCATTTATTCACTCGAAACTCCTCTGGACCCATAGTAACACAAGTAAATTTTCGTAAGTCCCAGTTCTCAATGTCTTTTACATCCCGTGCATTTAGATGGCATAAGCAATGCGACAATTGTAACAAATTTCATTCTCAGATATTTCTTTTCTAGTTTTAATTATTTTGATGTACTTGATCAATATCTTTATAAACAAGGAAGAGGAAAAGAGCTCAAGGGGCCAGCTCAAGCGGGGGAACGAAATTCTCCGATCTCCAAAGAATGGCCCTTCAGGCCTTTTACAAAGATGTCCAAGTACACTTTACAAGGGGTACTTGAAGAATTCTCCAAACTTAACGAGCTGGGTACAAAGCGGAGTCAAGGTCTAGTTTAACAACAGGCGCCAGAGAGAAGATTCAGCGACATCGGCCGCAGCAGTTACTATACCAAATGAATGATGATGTTGTTGTTTAAACCAATAAAATCTGAAAAAGTAATTCATGTTACGTTCAACGCGTTTTTTGTTTTTCTTCTTCCCTCATGGAAATGTGATTTGCAGCCAGGCAATGATATCGATGAGTGAAAAGTTTGTAACCTATCGATTACTCATCGATTACCCATTGATCATCGGCAATAGCGAATAACTAATCAAATGATTATCCATTGATTACTCATCGATTACACATTGATGTCATTGATTTCATTGATGAGATATGCCTGATAATGAACATAGTCGCCCTATACTCAACCCCTCCGGTAGTTAAATCCGAACCGCAGTTTTTTTTTTTCTCAGAAATGGCCACTCTGTTTCCCATATGTTACTTATCTCATTGAAGCACATAGATATGACGGTGATTATCTCAGGAAGCATTTGCTAGGCGCACCTCATTCATAAAGCCAAAACCATCGATCCTCTGGGAATTAACAAACGTGACGAACTATATATATATAATAATTAATATGCAATCTTTATCTGTTTTTCGGTTTATTTTTTCTTAGCAGCCACACCTTACCACGTCATATAATGCAACTTCCGTTTATTATTTTACAGTGGTATTTAGTATAATTATACTAAAACAGTGGATAGTGTTTTTCGTGGGCTCTGATTGGCTACTCAATCAGTGACTATCCTGCACCATTCACTGATTCACCTCCAGTTCCTCCGAGTCAGCCTAAGTTGCGAGCAAACTGCCTTCCCGTTTTGCTGCCGTAACAAACAAAGAAATTTCACCACTAATCAAGCAAGCTGTTCCCGAAATACACGAAAAAGGTTTCGAAGTTCGGTTTGGAATTTTGAAAATGTAAAGCTTTGTCTTTTTTACTTGAATTTATCAATCAGACCGGTGAAAAAGTTTTTTGTTTACAAATGCAAATTAAGCTTAAGTCTTGCGTTACTTTATTTCGGTTGACTTGTTCATAAATAAGCTTAAAACTAAATTTAATAATATTTTTTACAGAATGATTTTAAATACAAAAAGAATTCACAACTCCTTTTGAAGAAATTTCCCCGCAAGAGCTAAACAAATGCCTTCAAAAGTTTTATTGCTGGGAACAAAACTAGCGGGCATGCATTAAATCACTTTCAAACAAGGTTAAGAAAACATGGTAAATGCATCGTTTTTTCCAGTTCAGTTTTAGTTCTGATGGATAATACTGACTTCACCACGGTCAATCGAGGGAAGTTTCCAAGATCTAAGCAAAGTCTTCAAAGCTAAGGCTGCTATAACTTTCTCTTTTGAAAGTTTAAAATATCACAAGAAATCCTGGATATCTTGAATGTATTACCAAGGCACTGTTAATTTTGGTAAAAGAGAACAGAAAAAGGAAACAACAACAACAAAAAAAAAACCGGAAAATAGTTTACTAAAAAGTTGTAGGTGTTTAAAACTGAAACTGCTCTTATCTTGGGGGGTATTTGCTAGTATAAACCGAGGATCACACAATACTGTTTTCCTTGCAGATAATTCATGCAGTTCTATAAAGAAATTCTTCCCTGCAGCAGAAAGCGGAAATTACGACATTGATCCAGATAGCGAGGGAGGTTTGGCACCATTTACAGTGTACTGTGACATGACTGGAAAAAATGGTGTTGGCGTGACGGTCATCAGTCACGACAGCGAAAGCACAACAAAGGTGCGTGACGGCCTCGGTTGGGGAGGCCGTGGCAGCTACAGACGTGACATTCATTACACAGGAGCCAGTCTGTCTCAGTTAGCGAGTCTGACCAGTGTCTCCTCACACTGTGAGCAGTTTATCAAGTATGAGTGTTATCACTCGATGATATTAAGAAGCGGGTATGCTTGGTGGGTGTCGCGTGATTCTTCTAAGATGACGTACTGGGGTGGAGCATTACCTGGCAGTGGAAAGTGCGCATGCGGAATGAACAACACATGCGCAAATCCCATTTACGGCTGTAACTGTGATAAGAATGACCCAGTATGGCGTGAAGACAGCGGTCTCCTGATTGACAAGACAAAGCTACCAGTAAAACAGCTCGTGCACGGTGATGCAGGAAACGACAACCAAGGATACCATACTCTTGGAAAACTGAAGTGCTATGGCATAGCATAACAGATAACTACATTAAGTCCCGCAGTATTTGACTTCGGATCCAGAATTAGTGTAGAAAATCAGCAATAGATAAACATAATTTTGTGGTTAGCAATGAAAACATTGAAATCGTCAATAATTATACCTATCTTGGAGCGAAATTTTCTGCCAATGGAAGTTTTACAAATCACAAGGAAAACTTAACAGTAAAAGCAAGGAGATCCTTTTTTGCCGCTCGTCCTTATCTAGATTTTCTAAGTGAGGAGGCGATTTATTCTACACGAAACAGGATTTCCTTGCTAAACGTTTTTCACTTCTTTGACGATGATTGAGTCGTGTATAATTAAACGAAAGTCGAGAGAAATTACATTATTGCAAGAGAGACAAAATAGCCATCTGGGAGGACATGAGCTTAGTTTCCCTTTTTGTTAGTTCAATAACCACACAGCAGCTCAATAAGTACACAACAGATCAATAACCACACCAGTAGTTCAAAGACCACACATTAGTTCATTGAGCGTAAACTATATGTAGCTGCGGGAAAAATAACCACAAATACGTTAGTTATTTTTTTTTTTAATATGAATGCGTAGCATTAAGTAAGTGGTAAATACTCATTTAGCCACGGTACAAGAACTAAAATGATAAATAGCTATGTCACAGTGTTATTAAGTTCTAGTGAGGTCACTAATATAGACAGGAACATAGACTGATGTTAATTTTTTAAATTATAGTCTGCTCAGAAGGTCTGTCATTCTCATCGGGGGCTAATCTGCTAACTACGGGCAGTGGATATTGCTTGCTGTAAAATTTGCAATAATTAAAAAACAGCGCAAACAGTTGAAAAAGGTTATGAGCCTTGTCCTAGGCTAGCTCAGGGTCGGCTGGGAGAATAGTGATATATCAACATATCCCCACCGCCCCATCCCTCCCTTAGCCATTATAACCCCCTCCTCCCAATTACCGGTGCTCCATATACCCAATACTGCAGCGAAAACTTCGCTTAAAAATTGAATTCATGTTCGTTCACTCTTCATAACGATAATTCCAAATCACTTTCTTTGTCAACTGTAGATGAGCTCTCCTATCGTTGAATTCCTACGAACGATATTCAGGTTCAGAAAGAGAAAGAAAATTTCGTCGATGCTTGTTTACGTCTCCCATGAAATTTCAAAGTAGGAAGTTTCAAGTCGTAGTCAGCAGGGACGGCCAGGAAATGTACCAAAAAGCGTGCTGCACCCGCAAAATTGTTGTTATCAATGGCTAGTGTGATCGCGCCTTCATTGCTATTTTGACGTTCTCGTTGCCGTTGAACACACTGTAACCCAACCTCGTATTCAGGGTTCTCTCTCTTGCTTCAACCTACAGAGTTAGTTACCTTCTTGCAGATAACTAACTAATCTGTAGGTTGCGTTTATTTCCAGAGTTAACTGCTATGGTTGGCCGTTTGTTGCAAAATTCAAGAAGTGGACATATTAGGAAATTGCCCACCTACCCCTCTCCTAACAAGGCAACATTTTGCCCTAAGTGGGAAGTCATTGCTAATTTTGGCTTAGGGGAGGGGTAGGCGGGCAGTTTCCCAAATATGTCCACTTCTTGAAATGATCTAATATATTTATATTCGACAACTGCATTTTTGTTCATCTTCAAGGAATTACATTTATTCAACTTGCATTGAAAGAAAAAACTTTTTTCATTTAACTTCTAGAAAGATTTATTCATTCAAGAATTTTATATGGATTCAATAATTAAAAACTATATTCATTCAACAAACTTTTGTTCATTCAAGAAATTTGTATTCATTCAACAAAACAACATTATTCATTCAAGAAAAATTTATTCATTCAAGAACTCTGGTTTCCTGGACCCTCGTGTTCATCTTTATTCAACAAATCAAGTTCCCAGACATTGTCGCCAAACGCATTCAACAAACTTGCCCTTCCTTACCCCAGCTGATTTGAAATCCCTACGCATCATTCACCGCCACCATTCGTGCCAAAATGGCGGACAGGGAACAGCTGTTCTTGAATTGTTTCGAGTAGTACACTAGCTCTTCCAGACCTCTATTTTCATTGGCCTGAATAAACAGTAGCTTCTTTTGTTTTTAGGGCTAGGGGTATTTCGAGAGGAGGAGCAAAATAGCATTTTTAAACCTTTCGACGTGGAGTCAACTATAAAACCGAATGGAATCTGTGGGAAAATTTGTCGAGTACATCTTGCCATTTGTTAGCAAGCACAAAGATGAGTTGACTGAAGCTGCGAGTAATTTGAGACTCTGGAAAACCCCTAACTGCACTCACTTGGCAGTCTAGTATTATCAAACCTGGGGCCCGTTTCTCGAAAGTGCCGATAACTTTTCGGGCCCGAAATCCTATTTTGTGTTTGCTGCGTTTGCATTCATGATCAAAGTTTCAATAGTTTTGGTAATGATACAATGAAACTATCAATTTTGCCAGTCCCTTGGCCCTTCGATATATGGGGATTCCAATGTACTTAGAAATAACGGCAAGACTGTTTTTCTACTCAACACGGTGACGCCAAAAACCCTGCAGGGGTATCTACAGCGAGCTTTGATAAATTGTGCCCGTTTTTTTCACGATGCGGCCTCAGTTTTTTTTTTCCATTTTTTTTCTTTCATTTTCTGCTGGGCACATGCGGTAGAGAAGAACAGCTTGATGATATGCCACGCTTGAATAAATTAAAATAACTTGCACGTAAAACTAGCGTTTAATTTTATCGAGCTGTTTTCCTGTTCCCACAGAAACTCTATCATTCATTCAACGATGTTCGGATCTCTAATCGGACAGGCATTTTTTTTTTTTTAATTCGTTTTTTTTTCCAACTTTATGCGTTGGTCAATTTAGCTTGGAATTGTTTCAATTATTGGGCACGCGTCAATTTTTCATAAAGCAGGAGAATGTCTTGATCGGTAAAAATCTTTGTAGTTTTTCATCTTTTTATAGCTACCAGCTTACACCGCTGTTATTTCTTGTATGTACCATTATTATTAACATTCCTTTTATAACGCGTATATTGTCGGGTAATCCAGGCAGCTTTAAAACACGAACTTGCACTAAAATGACATTTCAAGTCCATGTAAAATTTGTATTCCATATACCTATATGTCTATCTATAACTATGTGTTATACTTAATGAATATTAATAACGACAGCTAAGGGCAGCTGAAATTCAGTTAACGATATATATTAATTATACTCACTCACGCTTATTGATGCAAGCTTATTACGCAATTGCACTGTAAAAATAAGGTTTTGGCGCAATGTAAAAAGTGTCCGTCAAACGTAGACTTGATTGATCTGTTTTCAAGAAATTATTTAACGAAATAAAACAGTGCGTTGACGTTAAAACTAGGTTGTATCTTTTTTTGGCCGTGCACGTAAAACGGCTCAAAAAACGCGACACAAGATTGGCCGTTTCATACTAAAGACTCAGTATCCAGCTGGACGAATTTAAGCAAACATTTTGAACAGTTCGTCTCGTTTATACGTCTCAAGAATAAAGACGGGCGCAAGACGCATCGGGCGTCTTAACGAACTATTCCTATCGTATTGCGTCGTTGAAGACGCATTTCCAAGGAATGTGCGTCTTTTGTCCCGGGATCTTTATACTCGTGACGCATAACCAGGCGAACTACAAATGTTTGCCCATAAGTTCGTCCAGACGGATAATGCGACTATAGTATGCAAACGACCATTAAAAAAAACAATTCGCAATGCCAGCATATAAGAGAAATAACAGTTGTATTATAGCAACATAAAACGAAATTTAAAAAGTGAGAGAAAAAATACTCAAGCGTCGACGTCATTATTTATTTACGCGGTATCAAAATATCAGTACGACTCGGAAAGAGGAGTGCATGGACCTATAGAGACCAAAACACGGTTAAAGAAGGCGACGAAAACGGCGAAGCCGCAATAACCTCGATCAACTGTCAAACTCCCTCTTACGTTTTCGAAAACAACTCAGTAGCGTAACAGTAAGCTTTGAAACTGATTTAAAATTTTCCAGAAATTGTTATGATCCAAATTAAAATGGAAACTTACTATTGCTTTTTATAACACCGAAAGGGAAAAAAGTCTAAAAAGGGAAATCGTCAACCGTTAAACCCATTTTTGTTTGGCAACGAACGTAAGGAGCAAATTGCACACTCTTTGCATCAAAACAAAATTTGTTGATATTAGTAACAGATAATTAACTTTAAAAATAGACCTCCAGGGGTTTCAAAACTGGTGCTATCCCGGATGTGTTTTGAATTTTAATTTAAGCCCGACAGGGATCGGTTATTTTTTTAACGGTCTTCGTTATGGCAGGTCGTTGTTTCCCTGGGTTGGCTCTCTTGCTGGTTTATTTTTTTTGTGGAGCTTGGCTGAGCCATATCACAACTGCTCAAGTAGGTAAGGAGAAAAACTAACAAGTGTAGGCATTACAAATACAGTCAAAGTTGTATACTAAATGTATTTTTTTTTGTTGACTTAAACTATTCGGTTACTACTCGCCGGTCGTCAGCCCGAGCGAGTTATATGCCACTTGCAATGGTGTAACTGTATGTGAGCATTGGAAAAGGATTGCAAGTGAGAGCACTTTTTGAAATGTTGACTTCGTTTTCACAGGGTTATAATGTGTTGTCCTCGCTTTTTTAAATTACCCCACGGACGAACTGAAGGAAGATTTCAGCATCTCTGGAAAGACATGCCGTTTGAATATAGCAAAATCTAATAGCGCCTCACCAATGAGCTGAATATATTGTTATAACAAGTTTATTTGCAAAGCGAAGGAATTTTTATACGAAATTTATTAAGAGCGCGAGAATCAAAGGACGGTGCCTCTTATAGCGGTGAGGCCGCTCAAGAAACATCACGGCCGAAACTCTGAGTTAAGATACAGAAAACTAGTGTTCATGTTAAAAACCCTTCGTTTCGCTGTGTACCCGGCTTACTACGTACCTTGTAAAAGGTACTGCGAAAGAAGAATGACGGGGCCTTTGTACGTATACTATCTCC